CATAGTACAATATCAATTTTAAGTATTGCTATATTGTACTATATCAATTATACTGTAATATTATTAGTAATACTACATGTAATATAAATATATAATTATAATACCATATTATTATTACTATTACCTTGCATTACATTATAATATTATAAATATTATATGTATATACAATATATTATATTATATATTATATATTATTATATATTATTATATAATGTAATATACTATAATATACTATTATATACTATTATATTATATTATATTATATTATATTATATTATATTATATTATATTATATTGTATTATATTATATTATATTATATTGTAATCATGGTGCTCACTTTTGGAAATCTGCAAAACTGATTTGGATGAATGGCATTCACTCCTAGTACTGCGCAGGCGCAGGAAAAAGCCCGCTTGGCCACGCCCTTGCTCGATTGGCCACGCCCCTGTCCAATTGGACACGCCCCTTTAAAACTGACGTGGATGAATGGTATTCTAGTACTGCGCAGGCGCAGGAAAAAACCAGTTCGGCCACGCCCCCTTGCCCGGTAGCCACGCCCCTGTCCGATTGGACGCGCCCCTTTGTCTCCCGCGCGTGCGTGGTTGCGTCTCTCCTCGTCGCTCTCTGCTCCCTTTCCCCAGAAGTCCCGCCTCCTCGTCGGAAGCCGGGCGCTGATTGGCTGCGGGAATCCCCCTCAGAGCTGTGTTCCCTTCCACCCGGGCCGGAGTGACCTTGGTCCAAGATGGCGGAGGCGAAGCCCAAGACCTCCCCCAAGTCCGTCAAGTTCCTCTTCGGGGGCCTGGCCGGGTGAGAAGAACAAGGGGAAGGAGGGAAGGAAGGGGTCGGGGCCTCTGTCCGGAGGGATCGAATGGGGGGCTTTCCCTGCAGGAAGGCAGAAGGACGCGGGGTGGACTGGATGGCCTTCTGGGGTCCCTCACAACTCTGTGATTCTGTTATTACAGATAGATAATATCATGTAATTATAATATAACACAATATAATGTAAAAATATGCTATAATTATAATATAATAGTTTAATATCTAACATGTGAATATAATATTGTAATATAATACAATAGTGTAAGAATATACATTATTGTATTACATTATAATATTTTAATACTCTAACATATTAATATAATATTATGTAATTTTATGATAATGTAATACAATAATGTATAATATAATTATAATATAATACAATAATGTAAGAATATACATTATTGTATTACATTATAATATTTTAATACTCTAACATTAATATAATATTATATAATTTTATTATAATGTAATACAATAATGTATAATATAATTATAATATAATACAATAATGTAAGAATATGCTATAATTATAATACAATGTTTTAATATCTAAGATATGAATAAAATATAATGTAATTATAATACATTAATGCAAGAATTTACTATAATTATAATACAATGTTTTAATATCTAACATATTAATATCATATAATTTTAATGTAATATAATACAATAATGTAAGAATATACTATAATTATAATAAAATGTTTTAATATCTAACATATTAATATAATATAATTTTAATGTAATTATAATACAATAATGCAAGAATTTACTATAATTATAATACAATGTTTTAATCTCTAACATATTAATATCATATAATTTTATTGTAATATAATACAATAATGTAAGAATATACTATAATTATAATAAAATGTTTTAATATCTAACATATTAATATCATATAATTTTAATGTAATATAATACAATAATGTAAGAATATACTATAATTATAATAAAATGTTTTAATATCTAACACATTAATATAATATAATTTTATTGTAATATAATACAATAATGTAAGAATATACTATAATTATAATAAAATGTTTTAATATCTAACACATTAATATAATATAATTTTATTGTAATATAATACAATAATGTAAGAATATGCTATAACTATAATATAATATTTTAATATTTTAACATATGAATATAATATAATATAATATAATATAATTTTATTATAATATAATGCAATAATTTAAGAATATGCTATAATTATAATATAAAGTTTTGATATCTAACATATTAATATAATATAATATTGTAATATAATACAATAATGTAAGAATATACTATAATTATAATATAATTTTTTAATATTCTAACATATGAATAAAATATAATATAATTTTATTATAATATAATACAATAATGTAAGAATATACTATAATTATAATGTTTTAATATCTAAGATATGAATAAAATATAATATAATTTTATTATAATGTAATACAATAATGTAAGAATATGCTATAATATAATTAAAATATAATGTTTTAATATCTAACATATTAATATAATATAATAATATAATTTTAATAACATATTATGATGTAATAAGCGACTATAATAAAATATAATAATTATAATATGGAATATGTTTTCACATATATAATATTATAATGTAATGCAATTATAATGTAATACAGTAATATTACAATTATGATATAATACAATAATGGAAGAATATACTTTGATATTATTATAATATAATACTTTAATATCTAACATATGAATAAAATATAATATAATTTTATTGTAATATAATACAAGAATGTAAGAATTTACTACAATATAATTATAATATTTTAATATCTAACATATTAATATCATATAATGTAATTATAATATAGTACAATAATTTAAGAATATACTATATAATATAATATTTTAATATCTAACATATTGATATAATATAATTTATTGTAATACAATAACGTAAAAATATACTATAATTACAATATATTTTAATACCTAACATATGAATAAAATATAATATAATTTTATTGTAATATAATACAATAATGTAAGAATATACTATAATATAATAATAATATAATATTTTAAGATTCTAACATATTAATATAATATAATAATATAATTTGATTTTAATAACATGTAATAAAATAATAAAATATATTAATAATATTTGATATTCTAATCTATATTAATATAATATAATATCACAAGAGACCAGATTGCCAATAACCGGATGCTGGATAATGGAGAAAGGCAGGGAGTTTCAGAAAAACATCTACTTCTGCTTCATTGACTATTCTAAAGCCTTTGACTCTGTGGATCATCATAAATGGTGGCAAGTTCTTGGTGGGATGGGCATATCAAGCCCCCTCCCCTCTCTCCTGAGGAATCTGGACAAGGACCACGGAGCAACAGTCAGAACTGACCACGGAACAACAGACTGGTTCAAGATTGGGAAAGGCGTACGGCAAGGCTGCATCCTCTCACCCAACCTTTTTAACTTGTATGCAGAACACATCATGCGAGGATGTGCGGGGCTGGATGAATGCAGGGCTGGGGTGGAAATGGCTGGAAGAAACATTAACAACCTCAGATATGCAGATGACACCACTCTGATGGCCGAAAGCGAGGAGGAGCTGAGGAGCCTTCTCATCAAGGTGAAAGAAGAAAGCTAAACATCAAAAAAACCAAGATTATGGCAACAAGAATGATTGACAACTGGGAAATAGAGGGAGAAAATGTGGAGGCCATGACAGACTTTGTATTTCTAGGTGCAAAGATGACTGCAGATGCAGACTGTGGCCAGGAAATCAGAAGACGCTTCCTTCTTGGGAGGAGAGCAATGTCCAGTCTCGATAAAATAGTCAAGAGTAGAGACATCAGACTGGCAACAAAGATGCATTGCCTAGTCAAAGCCATGGTCTTCCCTGTAGTCACCTACGGATGTGAGAGCTGGACATCCTCAGGGAAGGCTGAGCGAAGGAAGAGAGATGCTTTTGAGCTGTGGTGTTGGAGGAAAGTTCTGAGAGTGCCTTGGACTGCGAGAAGATCCAACCAGTCCATCCTCCAGGAAAGAAAGCCCGGCTGCTCACTGGAGGGAAAGATACTAGAGACAAAGCGGAAGTCCTTTGGCCACATCATGAGGAGACAGCCAAGCCTAGAGAAGGGAATGATGCTGGGGAAAGTGGAAGGCAAAAGGAAGAGGGGCCGACCAAGGGCAAGATGGATGGGTGGCATCCTTGAAGTGACTGGACTGACCTTGAAGGAGCTGGGGGTGGTGACGGCCGGCAGGGAGCTCTGGCGTGGGCTGGTTCATGAGGTCACGAAGAGTCGGAGACGACTGAACGAATGAACAACAACATACTGTAATTATAATATAATATTTTAATATTCTGACCTATATTAATATAATACACTTGGCGGACCATTATGCATGTGTGGACCATAATGACGGATCTTATATTATTAATATAATAACATAATATGATAATATCACAATAATAATACAATATAATAGTTATAATATGGAACATGTATTCACATATATAATGTTATAATGTAATGAAATTATAATATTATACAATAATATTATAATTACAATATAATACAATAATGTAATTATAATATAATATTGTAATATTCTAACATATTACTAACAAGTAATATTTTATTATATTACATATAATATAATATAATAAATATATATTAATATATATTTATATCCAGGGCAGAGGAGCAATGCCAAAAATGTTAATCCCTCTTTGGTTTAGCATTTCTGAAATGGGATTGAGGGGATTAAGGGGCTCCCTTCCTTCCTCCCTCTTTCCCCAAACATGATGAATGGGCAGAAAAGGGAATCCTAGAATCAGAAAAATATATAAAAAATAAAATTATCCTGGTGACTTCCATCCAATCCTTCGCAGTTTCAAAATTATTTGTTCTATAGTATTTTGTATTATTTTAACAGTAGCATGGTGTAACTTTTTTCTTCTTATGTTCCGTTTAATGTGAATTCTATTTAGGATTCTTTCCTTTTCTCGTTTCTTCATGATGATGTCCATCAGTGACCAGTCTGTCTGTTTAATTGGGTTTCCCTGGACAAATTAACCTTTTTAATATATATCTAGACACTAGCCGTCCCCTGCTCCGTGTTGCTGTGGCCCAGTCTGTGTATATGTGTGGTTTGTGTGTGTGTGTATATGAGTGTGTGTATGTTTGTGTATATGACCTTGGAAGACGATCTTAATCGGATATATATATATGTATATATGTGTATAATTCCTGTATAATTCCTGGAGCATCTCGGATGGAGGGCGATTAATAAGTAATTAAAGATGATGATGATGATGATATATGTGTATATGTGTATATATGTCTGTTTGTGTAGATATGTGGTTTTGCCCATGCGTTGTAATCTAATTTTTGTTTTTTGGCTTTTTAAGTCCCTTCCATTGTGTCTTTCAGTGTTTTTATGAGTGATGGTCACTCATTGGCCTGACAGGTGTCTTGTGTTCAAATTTGGTGTCAATTTGTCCAGTGGTAATCCCACAAACGAACATGACATTTTTATTTATATAGATTATTTTTATTATTATTTTGTGTTACTGACTTGGACTTAAATAGACGTTTTTATTTGTATAGATATACATATATAAAATATGTTATACAGATGTTTAATGATTTATGTTACAGTTGTTTTTAATTAGAATCATAGAATCATAGAATCAAAGAGTTGGAAGAGACCTCATGGGCCATCCAGTCCAACCCC